TTTACGAAAAATATTGCTTTTAAGTACATACAATGTACTTAAAGAATTGACGTTCTTTTGATATAATTTGTTTGTAAAATTCGTCCCCTTATGTACATAAATCTAAAAAGGCAAATGTTTTAAAAAGTGTCTTAAGAGAAATTACAGAAAAAGCCTTGAAAACTGCAAGCATACATTCTATTTAATTATTTGTACCTATCCGCCGACACATTTGTATTAATTAGCAAAGTGGAAAGTCAATATTTGTTGTGAAATGAAAAATAGCGCAATTAAGGTCGTATATTGACTACATCGTAAATAGTATACGATTCCAACATTCCACAGGATTATTTTCAGCAGTGGACTCCGGTCCTGAAATGATGATGTTTTTGGTGTTGTAACTAATCGTCATTTAGTTTATTTCTAATTCAATAAACAGTTAAGAACTGAAAACTTTCAGCATTCTGTGGAATTATCCGCAATCGAGTGAAACTTTTTACTACAAGATATTATGATTAAATTACACTATTAATTGACATTTACAGAATGAAGAGATCTCTTAGATTTTGACAATACCTTACTTACATTGTATAGAGCAACACAGGAGACGAATTGGACTTATTTTACCAAAATGCAGATGTGTAAAATTCGATTTTGCTCCAGGCTCAAGTTCTAAGAAGTCAGTGTCGGCTATAAAGAAGATTTGCCTACACAATAATAAAACGAGAACGAAAAAAGACGTTTCGTTAGAGAAAGCCAGTTCTTTTTTATTTTTAAGACTTAATGGCGGTGCTCTTTCACAGGTACTTCGTGTATTTTAAAAAGTCAAGCAATTGCGCATTTACCAATCATTGTCTATGAAGAAAACAAGTAAGTAACAAACATTTGTTGTTTGTGTAACCGCACAAGAAATCGTTTTCAATTTTAACCGGAGAACTACCCGAGTTAATCCCAAACGCAATTGGATGTGTTCCCAAGCGGTCGTACGGTAAATGCATGCATACGCAAGGTAAACCGTGTCTAATGGAAGGAGACATTTTATCAATTTAGACGTGACACATCCCCGATAGCCTGGGTTCACCTGAACCTGAACAATCCCTTGTCCTGCTTACGAATGCACAAGACGTCGCGGCCTCAAAGTGAATAGATAGGGTTTGTGGATAGAGGGCGCGCGCAATCGAGCAGGCCTTATTTTCCCCGGCGTGCTAAAAATAGACGCTCGCAATGGAGTGGCCGTCACAGTGTAACTAAACAGAGGAAGTTGCTTCCGAAAAAACTTGCCCTCCGTGTACCCATAACTGTTATACTCACGAACTTTCGAGATTTAGGAGTGTTATAGTTAGTTTGCGCTCAGATAATTGGACTTCGCGATAATTACTTCCAAGTTACTCGAGGGCTACTCACTATAGGTATAAACGTCGTTATTAATCATGAAATTGTGTTTACTTCTTATTGGTTTCATAATATTTTATCGTTTTTTTACTCTTTTCACAAGTGCTGGTAGGTTTTAATCAACTTTTATTGGATTTTTTTTTTGGGAGAATAAAGGGTAAAAGCTACTTAAAAACTGACAAACTCGTTGGTCTGGAAATTACCTTGTCAGGAAAGTTTACATAGAAAACTATTGGAAATTGAAGTCAAAATTTATATTTACTTATTACGAACCATAATCAAAACAAGCTTATTTCAGTCATTTCATTCACGATTACATGAAGCGAACTTTCTATCTATTTTATCTGTTCTCTGATTGGGCTTTGGAGTTCGGTGTTTCCTTTTACTTTATCCAAATTACGTTTCCTTTTATTTCCAAATGTCGGCTAATTTAATTTTGTGAAGAACGCATTATTCATCGTTAGCGGACCGAAGCGAACCCAGACCTTAAATAATCATCCGCCGACGTTCTTGTATACGCTTAGTTAGCGTACAAAAACACGCACAATTCATCTTTTGAATGTTAAGTTCCTTGTAGACCCATATCGTGATATGATTTGGAAAAGATCTTTAAATTAGTAGGTAAGTAACTTATATTACCTATTTGTTCACACTAAAATGTTATTTTTCCCGGTAAAGCCGGTGTTATCTGGTTAAGGCCGTTAGGTATTAAGTTTGCACAAATTAAACCTATAAATTAAAGTGAACGTATCTTTTGGCCATTCATACGATATTCCTTACTTGTTTATATATCTTCTTTGTTTTAGACAAAATTAAACCACTTATACTAGGTACATAGTACGCAGATGCATTTGCGGTTTGTCGCCAGTTTTTATTTTATTTAACTTGGCACCAACTCTTCGGTGAACGTTTTGGTGAGATTTTTTACAGGTTATTTTAGCTATTCTTGTTGCACTATTTGTTTTTGTGTCCTGTAAGTGAGAAACTTTTTAAGTAGGTATTCGTGAGATATACCGATCCTATGCTTTAAGTTAACGTGGTTATGCTCTGGCTACCTTACAGCATAATATTATGCTTTGATCAAATGATTACAACAAATACAAATCTATATATATGTTACAGGAAATGTATGAATTCTAGGAATTGTATACTATTCCTAGGAAATGTATACAATTCCGAAGCTACATATTTAGGAAATGTATAAAATATTGCTTCAGAGATTTTTTAATACGCACATATCCTAGGACATGTATACTTTTCCTAGGAATTTTATAGAATTCCAATATTGTATTAGGAAATGTATAAAACTAAGCGGCACAAGCGCGGTCATGTGATTTAGTGCCCCTCAGTACGCCTAAAATTTTATTTAGACAAACCACATTGACCGATAGGTACTTTTAACTCACAACTATTATTGTTTAGCCTGAAAGTTGTTTTCGCACTATTATACTTGACTGAAAAAAATATTTGCCTATTGGCATACCTTTCTTTCGGCATCACGCATATTACGCTGAAGTATTGGAAAACCCTAAATTTAACATATCTTTTATTAAACTATTATTGACATGAAGGTTTTAGTACTCCTGTAGCTGGATAACAAAGTCTCGGTTAGGTTAGGTTAGACTTGCGACCTTGTCACATACACAGCGGCCGCGGCGCGGGAGCGCCATTTAAGTTTCGGAGAAAAAAAAGAAATCTTAATTACATTTCCGATTGCTGTTTAGGAAATGTGTAAATTTCCTAGGAAATGTGTCTAATATAATTTACATCACACATTTCCGGGTGATTTTAGGACTTATACACAAATCCTAGGAATTGTATACAATGACGGATTTCATACATTTCCTGTAACATATATAAAAGAAAGTCGTGTTAGTTACTCCACTTATAACTCAAGAACGGCTGAACCGATTTAGCTGAAAATTGTCAGGGAGGTAGTTTAGAGCCAGGAGAAGGACATAGGATACTTTTTATCCCGTTGAAATATAAAAAAAGTCTGCTTATTTATTGCCATTAAGGCGGAACAAAGTTCGCCGGGTCAGCTAGTATAATATAAAAGCGAATGAGTCCGTAGCTCATAATGAAGAAAATCAACCCTCAAGCCACGAGAAAAGCTTTCTTAGTAATGAGCTCGCTCCATCACACTAAGGTACCTACACCTCATGGGTGAGCTTGCAATCATGCTTTTATTACTTTTGGCTATATTTTAAAAACCAGGTTAATTAAAGCGCTTACATTTTTAGTCTGTTAAAACACACAGCGTGTAGGCGTTAAGCACAGCTCATTAAACACGCCCCGAGTGGAGGCCTGGATCCCTTTTCGTGCTAGACAAACGTGCAAAGTCAAAAGTTACTGTCATATGACGAGAGTCATTGAACCCTCAGGGGAGGTATTTCGATATATAGAACTGAATATAAAAACCTATATTCGATATTTTAGAGAGTAAGCTCGGTTTAGCTAGCGCACATAAGTGACTTTGTGTGTCATGGACGTTTTTCTACATCGTAAACTGTTGTCATAATAAACATGGGTTTTGCTGTTCCATCAACCCCGCCTTGTTTTGGTGTGAAAGTGAAACATTGATTTCATTCCCTACCGCACCGCACAGTTACAACCTACTGGCAAAAGAGAAAGTTCCTGCAAATATTGTTTTCAGTTATATTCCTATGTTAAACGTGGTACACCTGCGATTGCTTTGATTTTAATACATAATTCATTGAGTACTTTCCTTCTTCTTTTGACTAAGATGCACCTGTGGCAAGTTTGATGCCCTGAGACATGATATTATAAGACAATTTTTGACTACGAGCTACGAGATATCTTTTACTCCGCGCTACAACTGTCTACACGCTACGAATACCAACGCGCTACGATTTACTACGAGCTACGAAGCGATATGCCATTTGACGCGTATGATTATGGTAGCAGTTATTGCTCATCCGTAGTTATTGACGGTGGTTCCGTATTGATTCGCGTAGGTTCGAACTCCTTATAGTAGAGTTACTTTCATATATCTAATTGAGCTATCCTCACTTATTACTTACCTAGGTACTGTTCGTGCTGTTACTGTAGGTACAAGTCTCTTAAGATTATTTTTGCGACGTCTTCCTAAAATTTTACATACGACAATACTTCTCACCCTCTGTTTATTTTACAGCGTCGCGCAACATTGACTCTTGCTACGATTAGGTAGGCATAAGTCTCGCGACGCCTCAAGCGTGGCCTCGCAACGCCTCAGGGCGCCCCGGTTTAACCCATTCACAGTCCATAACGAAAAATATAGTAAAATAACAGCAGATTCATTGAGTATGAAGTCGAATACGTCAATGTGTTTGCTGACATGACAGCACAAAAACTACACAAACTATCGATAGCGAGTAAAGTAAACTTTCAAGTTAACCTGTGTAGTTTTTTCAAAAACTATTCGATGCTTTAAATATGCTATCGATTGTAGTAAACCAATACAAGTTTCCAATAGTAACTCTTAGCAATAGTAGCGCTACAGAAGAATGTGAGCTAAAAAGTTTACGACATAGACTGGTTCTCAAAATTATTTAATTTTCGTCTAGACTGCCATTTTGAAAATAAATTATTTTTCAGAGCCCCAATTTTTTAACACTAATTCATCGATGTTATGCAGTAAGTCCCCGCAGATTACAGGTTTTTGACGGCCGATAGTTTAACGGGCTATGGAAGTAAGTAGGTACGAATTACGACGATTGTGTTTTTGTGGATTTGGCCATTTTGTCATATAAATTAGAAGCCTATAAAAAGTGTTGTCTGCAGAGACTTAATTTCAGTGAAAGTATTACGACACAAGCTTAAATGTTAAGAATTGTAGATTTTAATCTTTTTTTTTGTTTCCAGAGTGCCCACCAGCCGCGGACGGCATGGAGCGGTTCGCGTGCCCCACGCCGGACCGGCAGGGCCGGTACCGCTGCATTGATGACCACGTGCTCTGCGACGGGTTCATCGACTGCCCCAGCGGCGAGGATGAAGACCGGCAGGCCTGTATGTTCTACAAAACGGTACGTTTACCTTTCCATCACTTGCAGCTGACGCCATTGGAACAAAGCAATTTTTGTACGATAAAAATCTACGCAAACAGAATGAAGTCTCAGTATCGTAAACAATACCTACTTTTCTTTGCGATTGAAAATACACCAAATACAGTTGGATCTTAAATTCTCAATGTGATTCGGCTTTCGATGGTGGAAAAATTGCCAGGTTCTAAAGACGTGAACTAAATGTTTTACCATCACATACTTAGTAGATAAAGACATCGCCACTTTGCTATTTGGTAATTGTCCAAAGATTTATTTATTTATTTATTATTTATTTATTTTAATCATTCGTCGAACATGATTTTTCGACTGTGACGCTGGGTACAACTACCTACTGATACCTAGGTAAAACCTGCTGAAATTACACGAGTTCACGTCTTACTTGATTCTTTATTTCGAAAAATCATGTGTTAGATACTTACGAGTATTTTAAAGACAGAACTAGCATTAGATAGGTATCTAACATTCACTTCAGGAAAGAAAGCATATTTTCACATTTTCGTAATCCTACTTCCATTTTGCAAAGGCTTAAAAGCCAGCCGTCTGCCTGAAATTTCTCTTTACTAGTAGTAGGCTTAATGAGCCTCCATAGACATCTAACTACCCTCGATCGACAGCTCAGTGCATTACTTACATCTGAATGTATTATAGTCAGCTAGCTATTCCGTCTGTGTGTTAAGTCTGATCTGATTCATTTAATCCATCCAGCAGACGCCTACGAATTGGTATTCGGTAACTATCCATTTTCATCATTAATAAATCACATGCCATTAAGCTTGGCAGTAAGATAACCTGTGCAACTTGATACCGGAAACTTACCGCTGCCAAACCCAGGACTCGGTGGTTTTAGAGGTGAGGGGATAATGGCCGCCTGCTGGTTTCAAGCTTCCGATTCATAACCTTATCAAATATCCGGTCCATTAAAAGTTCACTACTTTGTGAAGGTCGATTCAAAACAACATTAACGTAGGTAGGTACCTACGTCGAATTATACCTAAGAATTTGAAATACAATTTTCTTAGTAAGAGTTAACTACTTCAACGCCTACTTTGTCTGTAGAGTCAAATTAAAAATTAATTAACTACTATTAATAACTTGTAATATTACATAATAATCGAAGGAAATCACTTTGCCTTTCTTATAGCGCTCGTTGATCCGCCTACGCATAACCTAGATTGCTTTCCTTCGTTCAACAACAAGAGTTATAACTTATAGACGTAAATTTTAGACTGAGACTAAATAAAGGCTCTCATTTCTCGTTTGTTATTGAATTTTAATTGGTTTCTGTTTCAGACGAAGGCCCACCTAGACGTCCTGGCCGACGCGCTGCTCCGGTGGGCGCGCGGCCGCTAAGGACCGACCCAGGACCCCGACCCTCTAGTGCTCCAACATTCCGCTAGTTCCACACGGACCCTATGATTATGAATTGACACTCGATCGACCGGTACAAGTGCTCTCCCGCGATCAGTGCTAGCTGCGAAATCCCACTCTGAACACACTCGGACGCAACCAGGAAAGATACACGTAGACGCGTTGAACGTAATGAAACATATCAAGTAGTGGTGCAGCATACGCCAAAACCATGACCACATAAAGTGTAGTGTAAGGTTTCAGGCAGCGAACAGTCGCGACAGCTCCGATGCGTATGCGTTGAAACTAACGAAGTGATGCGTGCGATCTGGTTTCGTCCCGATTAAACCTTTCCGCAGCTGATTTATTTTCCAAGTATTTCGTACCTTCTAGCACTTATTAACTAAAATGTGAGACTGGTAGTCGACATTGTTAGTCGTAGAACATATACATAAATATTTTAGATTAATAGTTCTTCATTTGACGAAACATAAATGTTTATATCCGTTTGTTGAAATATTTATTCACTTTATGTATGACTATATTAAGTTACGATATTCCTTATTATGATGAGGGTTGTAAAATAAAATAAGAGAACTCTAAGAATGTGTACATAGGTATATTGTATTAATTTGTAATTTATTTAGTTAACTATTCGGCCTATACTTGAAGAGCTGCGCCTTCTGGGCACTCGGACCTCAAGCGGCCGCTGAAGTCTTTCATTCCTTGGTACGGGCACTTCAACATTGTTTTGTGGAAAACGCTTGTGTAAGGAGAGCATTTAATATATTTTAACATAACATAAAATCTCAAATATAGGCAGCTATTATTGTTAAAATGTTAATCCATAATATGTACTATAAAATTCATTTATTTATTTAGACATATTGTATCTATTAAAGTAATAAGAACATTCGTTGTAACTTTTCGTACAATTAGCACAAAGTTAGAGTTTTGACTGAAAGTGATCATTGTTGTCGAGTGCCGAAAAAGTCTGAACAGCTATGTGCCGGCTCTAGTCAGTAATCAGTTCCTACTTATTGTTTTTCTACTGATTGTTTATTTGGCTAGTTCAGTATATGTACGTCTTTGTCGTTTTTCTACAAGCTAATTATTTTTAAATCCACGCAGGCCATATTATGTAATCACTCATACATTATTACACGCACATTTATTTAAGACCATGGCCCCTGATATTATAATTTAAATTCAGTTTTTTTAAAAGAATTTATTGGTATTGATTTGAAAAATATTGTGATTTTTACACCTTCTTACAAAATCAGTAATTGAAATACAACACTACCAAAGAACATAAAGAAGGATAATTTAAACTGTCTTAAAAACTACTTTGCCTAAGCTCATTTTTATAGAGATTTTTTTTTCAGCATAGTGTATAAATTATTAACTTACCCGTATACAATTAATTTCAATCTGCTAATTTAGTATTTTAGTCACCAATTAAATACTAGCATTATTTTAAATAAGGAACACCTATTAATGTTCACATCCGCAAGTAAATAAATTTAAGGCATATTATTACTAAAATTATATTATAAAAAATAAGCTTAGATATATTATTAGTGTGGATAACCACCTAAAACATTAGTAGAATAGGTGTGTAGATGATAGAGGATAGAGACATTGTCTATAAATGTATAACAAAATTATTATATTCTTGGAATTTAGATTAATGTATGAATTAGAAAATATTTGTCTCAGCATTATTGTTTTCTTGATACTATAACCAAATTGCACAAAATTACTGCATTTATTAAAATTAATTAGTATAATTTAACAGCACCCATATTTTATAGCGGTAGATTACATGGATCTCATTTGGTCATGAAATTATATTATTGGATAAGAAGTGGATGTGAACGTTTAATAGTGCTGATAGCTCGTGTTAGAGATTCCGGAGGCACATCAAAGCAATGGCTAGTAAGTTAAGTTTATAAAGTCGCATACATCCAATAGAAGGTTACACAATATAAAGATGACTAATACCGGATAAACACCGCTTTAGTCTGTTAGAACGTGAGTTCTTGAGCCATCAGACTCTGCGGTATTTATGAAATTCGAAATTTCCCGACAAGTAAAATCACCGTTATTATAAAACTATTAATTTCTCAAATTACGTAAATTCAAGTAGGCTGCTTTGATGTTAATCTCTTGCAAGACTTATCGCCGTTCCAGTGGTTTTGTAGAAATAGATAGAAGTTTGCCATTTTTAATTTGATCTCCTTGATAATTAATTAATTATTATTTTGAAAGTATCGTACAATTTGTCCCGAGGAATCCCGTTAACTTAACCATGAATATGTAATCAATAATTTATGCACGTATCAATACCAAGAGATTCTTTTATTTAAAATAAGTTTTCAGTATTAATTTATCATTTAAATGTCAAAAACATATTTTATTCTGTACTAAATTGAGATCATGATAGTAGTTTTCGTTATTCCGTTGTGTGGGATTACACGTTTAGCCACTCGGACCTCAGACTTCGGCGACTATCGTTCATCATCACACATCATTCGTGCGCGTGTTATCTTCTCGTTATGTGGTATGACGTGTATTATTTTCTAAGTGTAAATGTTTTATTAGGGAGGAGAGTAACGCTATTATAATACATTAATGTAATTGCACTCAAAATTTGCCTGTTTCGTATGTGCACAGCAATTTATTGTGATATTTTAAATACTATAGGTTAAGACGCAAATCACGATCTCGAGAATAGACTATGTACCTATCAATGTGATTATTATTAATTTATATATTATATTATAATTATGTATCTACAGTTGTAAGTCTGTATTAAATACGGACTGAACGTATTATCTGTTTGGGCTTTCGGACATCTCCAGGGTTATTTGCGTATTCGAGAGAAGCATAATATGTATTTGTTAAAGCGATTATAGATTACTGTTCCCGTTGCTTTCGTAATGTTTCGCCGTTTCAGTCAATTTGTGTACGTATGTATTGTACCTATGTGTAGGTAGATTACGTCGCTATCGTCCGGCGCGCGCGCCGCGACCACGCACTTTCATCGCACACCCTCACTATTATATTTATCTAATTATTGTTACAATATAATATGTAAGCACAGACTATGAGCACAATTTCTCTACACGTATCGAGTATTTATAAAATAAATCGTTTCTAGTCACTTTTATAACTCGCAACGTATTGCGATTGGAAGGATGCCTAACTACATCTCTGCTGTAAGAGGTGGAAGAAAGCTCATTAGATCTTCCGAACCCAGTTCAAATTACATAATGTAATAATATCTATTTGTCATAAATTCATAACTGTACTTATACCTACCTAACAATCTCGCTCAAATGGGAGAGAACTTAAGTACTTCAACTAACTTTACTGTTGAAGAGTAATATTTTTAGATGTCACACTTGTAGTAATTAAAACACAAATAATTTAATTTGGTCAATTATAGAATCACACAAAATTTTCGTAAAATTTTTCCGCTGTCAAAATTAAATATATGTAAAGCATTTTCCTGAAGAAACCGCAACTTCTGCCGTTTTCCTTGATGATATTATTTAAAAATGCAAACTATTTTTGTAGATACATATATTTAATTCATTACCACTAGATAGAGATTTAAAATAGGTATATTTTCTCAAATGTTACGTTTTGCCAAAAATAACATATTTAACTTTTCTGACCGCACAAACTGGTAAGTTGTTGGAAACTAGACAATCTCACGCGCAATCTTGTCATTTGTAGTGCAGACGGCAACAGACCGCTCGGCGCGCTCGGGCGAACGCTCGGCCGAGCGCTGGACGAATGCTCGGGGGCGGCCGCGAGCCGCGGGCCGCAGGGCCGCTCCCACTCGTATAACACCAACTCTCTCGGTTATATTCCCAGTTTTCGACCGTGTCACTGATGGGTTGCATACGCTGAATATGTGCAGGCAACTCATATGGCGATAATCTTATAACGACTACGCTATTTTGTAGGCGTAATATACTTTTGGACTATTTATTATGTATTGTTAATTACTATGTATGTTGTATTAAGATAAAAAATTGAAAAACAAAAATAAATGTTAATAAATGCCTCAGCCAGATGAAAGAAGTGTTTCATTTACGTATCAATCTATATCAAGTATTCATAATTTGTTTGAACAAAAAGTTCAATTAGAAAACAACCAACAATTCGAATTTGTAGTTTATATTTACGTAAACACTAAAACCATTCATAACAATTAAAACAACGAATCAAATGAAATGACAAAAGTTGGCTTGATAAAGATCAAGTTAACTTTTGTTTGGAACTCGAAAAGGGCCTTGCCCTATTATCATTGGTCCTATCACAGAAATGATTAATGTATTTACCTACATACTTTTTGTGCTCTTTGAACTCATACATAATTTAAATGTACGTTTTTTTAGACCAACAGACTGCGTAATAAAAATAATTTTAATAGTGTCATAAAAAAATATTTTTATGGCATTGATTAGGTACCTGGTTTTCCTAAATAAATAAATAAATTAATTAATAAAATCGATTAAATATGTACACACGGCCACATTGTTAACTATCCATTTCCGTTTTTGCTCTCGCTCTCATCAAATGGGGAATCTTTGCGATAGAACGAGACGACATGACAGGCAATGGATAGTTAAAACTGTTGCCGATGGTACTTATAAATGATATTGAGTTTACTAATTCTCATCTTACTTCTACTACTTATTTGGAGCCATAGGATGGCAATTAAAAATAATTCAATATTTTTTATACCAAAATCCATTTTATTGTAAGATAAAATATACATAGGCTTGAGTAAATAAAATAATGTCTCTTTATATACATACGGGTATAAATCTCACTTTTGCTTTTTAATCTCTTGGACCGTATTCTTCAGGGCAGGCAGCAGTTCCTTTAGTTTGTCCTCGACATCAGTTTTCTCTTCGTCAGATGCAATAAGATATTTAGTAACCAATTCTGAAATATAACATTCAAGAAATTAGAAACAGACCTTCGTTATAGATTTTAATTCGTAATATTGCGTACGACTTTATTTTATCAAAATCGTTACCGAATTTCGTAACATTCGTCACAGAATATTTTAGTGACAAATTCAATTTAGCAATCGCTTCACGGAGGGAACTGTAGTTTATTAGGTAATCGCTAGACGAACTTTAGTTCTAAAGTTACCGCTAGTCTAGGATGGTAGGTACATATTTGCCAATTCAATCTCGCCTTTAAAGAGGCCCGGATTATAATGTTCGGGAAAGACAGCAGCAGGCAGCGAATTCCAGTCCCTAGCTGTTCGCATTATAAAAGAGAATTAAAACTGTCACGAAGGGGCCACGGGCCTAGGGGGCAGGCAGGGTAGTCAGGACATGTCCGTATCGAAATGATAAACTACCCGCTAAAATAATTACTGTCGACATGTCTTGAGTCGAATGTCGTTTCCATTTGATTCAGTTTTGAACTTCGGCAGCTGGAAGTTTTGGGAGCCACGAATATTTTCGAGGCAGAAAATAAGAACTAACAATTATTATTAGACTGGGACAAGACTTAAAAGAGAGAAAAAAAATTAGGAAAAACATACAATGAATCCAATGCAGCATTTTTGCAATCTTTAACACAGGTAAGATTAAGAAAGTGATAAACCTCAACAAAAAAGCAATCTTCATTAAACTAACCTTGGCACTGCTGCAAGTGTTCAAAATGTTCTTCTTTGACGTGCGTCTTCAGGAGCGCCACTATAGCAGGCACTTGTCTCCCGGACGCGTGCAGCATATTTTGAGTCACGATGGTGAATATCGCCAGCACGGCTATATGCAGGCTAAGGGCTGGATCATCGCAATTTTCTAGCTCTGCTATCAGTTTTTCTCTGTGATTTTGTATCAGTAGCCTGTAAAAAATATACTCATTAATCAAACATGCAAAAGCATACACAGTCAAGTATCTACTACAGATTTATAGCTAAAGACCGTAATTTTGGCATTACTATTTCAATCAGAAGACGTCCATTGCTAGACAAATGCCTCCCTCAAAGGTTTCTACAATGGCCGTTCCTATGCTGCCTGCATTCAGGTGCATATCCATGTAAGTTTTAGCATTAGGTGAACTATTATTTCTGTGTACTTGAGTCTAAAAGTAGATTTAAGTGTTCATAAAGCAATATTCCACTTACTTGTCCTTCTTCTTGTCCACTTTCTTCAAAATCATGCCACATGCTGAGAGACACACATCAATAGCTTGATAGAACAACTCAATGTTCTGTTCAGAGAGTGTAGCATTCAATGCCGACAATGGCTTCTTGTATTCATCTGACAGGTCTTTTAGAATCTTATTCCTTTGTTCCACTGAGAGCACATCAACTTGAACAGACAGGTTGCATTGATTGGCTGCATATTTACAGAATTCAGCGAGAATGTCGCCACCTAAGCTCTTTAAAAGATACTTTATGAATTGGGTTTGTTGATCAGGTGGGAATGATTTCAATCCCTTTTCATACAGCTTTATATCATTCACTAAAATGTTGATTTTATCTTGAGTAGAAGTGTGAGTCTGCTTTCTGTTCTGGCTGGCATCTTGGAGAAGTTTTTCTGCAGTTTCCTTTGCTATTGACAAAGCAGTTTGATTAAGGCTCCTGGAATAAAAATTGACAATATTAAAATATAAGATTTTTAATTTTCTCGTTCCATTTCGACTTAAATAGAATAGCCGTGAGTACTTAATGTAACTCATTAATAAATGTCGCGTTAAGACCCGTGTCTTTCTATTTAAGTCAAAATTAAAATATTACCTCTGACCTCTGATAAGTTTATTAAAATTATGATGTTTATTGTTGGCTTACCCTTGAAGATATTCTGCAATTGGCGTAATTAAATCATCAAGGCCTTCGTTTTCTAATGTTTCTTTGATTATGCTCTCTACATCATCAACAGTGATGATGTCTAGAGTAGTTTCCGATTTTTTAGCCACGTTAGATGCGTCATCTGAGTCAGAATCGTTAGCTGCATGTTTAGATGATCTTTGATGTTTCTTGACGGCTTTAGTTTTGGTTTCCCGACCCTGGCTGCCACCACCAGCTTTTCCTGATGCTGCTTTCCTTCTTCGCTCTTCCCGTCTCTCTGCTTTTTGATCCACATGACTGTGACTATTCTCAGAAGATTTACTGAGTTGTTTTTCCAAAAAGAACTGTTGGTACTTCCCAGATTTAACAACCTCTTCAGCTTTTTTCTGTGTCACTGACATACAACTTTGCTTCAAACTTTCAATGTAGCTGTTACTAAATACTGCAAAAAAATGTAATGATTACCAGCTTTGTTTAATATACTAGTATATTATTATGTAATTGATAACTTATATTTACTTACCAGTATTGTCAAACAAAGTAGTCGACTTCGAATTATTCTTCAAAAGTGTGTCTAGAACATTTTCAATATCTGTACTAGATAAGACAGAAGGTAATAAAGAAACTACATCTAAGTAACTTTTCGATGCTATGCATTCTTCCAGCGCAGTCTCTAACTGCTGCATAATCTGGGCACCAATTGCACAGGTGCTAAGAAATGTTAAGTTTTCATTTGTAAAAATCCTCTTCACATAGCCTTTGGGGTCTGATATTCCCAACCTGGACAGAGCATCATATTCCAAATAGTTGTTTTGTTTGTAAAAACTGACCACCCAGTCGTTTTGTGATTTAGTGTAACAAGATGGCACATACAAAGCACCCGCCTGTCGTCCCGTCAAGACTCCAGGTGCATTCAACTGGTCAAACAACGACATAAACAAGCGATCAGCCAGATTGCAGTGATTAATTATAACCGCAACAGGGGTCGGCTTCAACAAACCCATCAAGGCTCCACGGATCTTCGCTTTAGTTCTTGTAATATACTCTTCCGTATAGAAAGTCCTCGGCTCTGAAGAATCTTGTTTGCCAATAATTATTTTTCCCAGATATTTTTCAAGCACATTATGTTGAAGTAATTCAGCAGGCAAATCATATTGTAAAGTTAACTCTCCTACTGATATTTGACCTTGTAATTGTAATTTTTCATTTATCTCCCTTGCAATTTTTTCAAGATAATAATTAGCAATTAAATAGCCAGACACTAGCTGAACTTCTTTTCCTTTGACAATATCTGCAACACTTGCATTGATTTGATTTAAATCAACACTTAATTCTTTAGCTAGGTCTACAGTGTTGATTCTACCACCATGCACATAAAGTTCATCTTTTATCTCCTTTGTAAGCTGCTGAGACGTCAAATATTCTTTCCCGTCAGTAGTAAAAATAACATCAATGAGTTTTAACTCTATCAGTTTTGTTACAATCTCCACACAATTTCTTTCTGATAACCTGTAAGAAATATTTAAGTAAACAAAAATCATATTTTAAGCATTTGTTAATATTATAAGATGTATGCAGAGTTCATCCGATTGAAAAGGAACTAAGTATTTAGACTAAGTATGGAATTGAACCTACCTCTGGGCAGTAGAGCTTAATTGAGCTTTTTGAAAATCCGCTGCTAATCGTTTTATTTCATCCCAATCAGTCGAGGGAGCCATGATTAAGCTGAAATCGAAAAGGTATTCGTATAATATTGAGTAATAAATTCAGAAATTAGTTTTGTATGATGAAAATAATTAGTAGACTAGATTTGATTTTTTGAAGGTTACCCTTTTATATTTTCAGCTGTCTGGTTAAGTCACACAATTAGCGTTAACAGTAACTTAATGACAAAATGTAACGTAATAATTTATTTAATAGAATAAATTAATAAATATGTACGACGTCAGCACCATACAGCAAAAAAAAACAGCTGGGTACTGAGAGTGACAGATGGTGACAGACAGACAGTCATGGTGACGTTGACACTAAACGTCAACTAGTGAGGTGCGAAGTACGAAACATGTAGTCATAGTCATGGTCATAGTACCGGTTAATTGAGGTAGATCTCGGCGAAAACAATACTCTTGGAAACTAAATTTTGCTAATCGGTAGTCCTTTACTCACTTGTCAGTTGTCTTTTAAGTCCGGTGTCTAGTCCGTGTTTTGCCCCACACAATCAACAAAAACATGTCAACATTCAATAATTTTTCTAGGCAATTTTGTTGAATCTTGATATGTTTTTGTTGGTTGTGTAGGGCAAAATACGTGATGAAGACTCGAATTTAACTACAAAATTCTTTTCATAATAATAATATGTATTGATGTAAGGTAATATACTCTTGATGGGCATTTGGGTATAGTAACGATATTATTAATATGAGCACATTTTTAAATCTATATATATAAAAGAAAGTCGTGTTAGTTACTCCACTTATAACTCAAGAACGGCTGAACCGATTTAGCTGAAAATTGTCAGGGAGGTAGTTTAGAGCCAGGAGAAGGACATAGGATACTTTTTATCCCGTTCGAAATTAAAAAAAATGTCTGCTTATTTATTGCCATTAAGGCGGAACAAAGTTCGCCGGGTCAGCTAGTATTACATAAAAACAATTTGATTTGGATGAGATTTAAAATGTATGCCAGCATTGCCAGCACATAAGCGGTTAATCGAATCGGTTTTATTTGTAACATACCAACATCACTATGTTTGGGGGCGTTTGGCCGAAAATAGCGCTTGTTAGAAATTGTTAGCAAAATGGCGATCGCCATGGCAACCAACGAAAACTTTAGCATGGTTTTCGGCGAGGACACGTTTGCTAACTTTAAAAGTAACGTTTTCCTATAAATTTTTTGCAGTGATAGCACTTACCGTTAAAAGGACGCCATTTTTTTACTAGCGCTAGCTAGCGCTATTTTCGGCTAAACTCCCCCAATCTCAGCTGACATTGACAGCCTAACTGTCACTGTCACAGCAGGCAGGAAGGATCCTTCCTCGTTCAAACTCGCCTCTTTTTTTATTCAAGCAAAAAGTCACTTGGTTTAATTTTACTTTAGTTAGTAGTTAGTAGTTCGACAGCCGCGTGATACTACTGTAGCGTTAGTAAATTGTTACGCGGCTCTAATCGTTAAGTTATCAATTAGTTTTGATTACTTCTGTGCTTCAAAAACAGCTGATAAGTGACTATCTGCGGAATATCTAGCCATTCATTATTAGAATGTTGAATAATGCCTTATCTTAACTGTGAATTAACTTCTTGACAATAGATTTTGAAGCACGTGTATTATCAGCGGAAGAGTATCAACTAACAGCTCAAAAATAAACATCGGTGATGTTAGAGAAAATGGAATTTGAGCCAAGGGAAGCCACGGACTTGCTTGGTGGGAGTCAAAAGACTGAAGTTAATGGAAACCCTAACCATGCTTCTAAGAGAGGGCCTCCAGATGGAGGATTTAGAGCATATGCTGTAATGGTTGGCTCTTTTCTTACGAATGGGCTATTATTTGGCGTTATAAATTCTTACAGCGTAATATACCCTGAACTTGAAAGAAAACTGAAAGATGCAAACATACCAAACGCCGAGAGTCGCGCATGTAAGTATATTCTTTTCATTTTTATCTTTAAAAATAGTGTAATTAATCATTGTATTAACCCTACCCATAAAACTGCTTACTCCTTTTGGAATTGAGCACCAATTGTTGACTATAAGTGACTGACCTGAAAATGAAGCTTGGTTTGTATGATAACAATGATGTAATATAGAGTGTTCCTTACATTAGAGAAATTTCTGAATATTTATTGAAAAAATCAAATTGCCATTAATTTAAAACTGTTAAACCATTCCTGTTCAGTAATATTAATCATCATTTTAAAGTTTAGTATGTTAAAGAAGATAAATGATTGACACAGTTAACTTTTCAAAGTACCTAAGTATTGCATCATTAAATTAAAAAACAAATGATGAAGATTAATATTCTAAAATTCTTTTAACCTGTATTCAAATTATTTTATATTAATTGTTGTTTGATTGTTAATAAGATACTTTATTATAGGATCCTGTCATTATAACTTTATTAACTCTTCATTAGTTTAATTTTTGATAAAATTACTTATTTATTTAAGGAACACAATCAGTAACAAAATACAACCTTTCTTAACTCTAATACATCTTAAGTTTCACATCTAATACTTGCACTGATAATGAAACAATCTATACTCAAAGCATATAATATTGTGTGTTATGTGCATCAAGTCATGTCCTCTTTACAGTGTTCTTATCTGAAACTGTATGGCAATTATTTTAAACAGCCGTCTGTTACATTTATTTAAATGATATGATAAAAATGTTCGACTGACAAAGGTACAAAGTAGGCGTTGGATTTAAGGAAAATCACTTATTTCATTCTGTGCCATGATAATATTGTTATAACTAGGAGAAAATATTTCATTTAACTAGTATTTAAATGTACAAAATAAAATAAACAATCAATAGTTATCTACATATAAGTATGTGACAAGTAATTAAATTCATAGGTATAGCCAGTACAGCAAACAGCACTTTTAACAACTGTAATTACCTGTTAAATAGATTTTTGTAATTAACTATTATCTATAATTTACATTCCTAGAGGTAGGTACTTACCTCCAACAATAAATTTTGAGAGAAAGTAATTCTTTTTACCTTCTTGAAATTCAAAGTTTTCATGTGAAACTTTTTAATTTATTAGTGCTTTTTTCCTATGATGCAAATTTCGGCACGCGTTCGTATTTGGTATATAATCACGCTGCTGGTTGCAGATAAAGATAAAGATATTTATTTACATAAACATGTGTGAAAACATATTACAAAGCAACATGATTTGGTCTTACAGTTTTAACAGGTGATAGGTACAACATGTTTTACCAAGATATTGGCATGTAAATGTAATGCAGGAAGCCCGCATAACGGGAAAACATGTCTACACTAATATTATAAAGAGGAAAACTTTGTTTGTTTGGTTGTAATGAATAGGCTCAAAAACTACTGGACCGTTTTTAAAAATTCTTTCACCATTCGAAAGCTACATTATCCACGAGTACCTAACATAGGCTAAATTTTATTTTGGAAAAAAATAGGGTTCCGTAAAATATGTAGATAATGTAGACCACGCGCGCGAAGCCGCGGGCGGAAAGCTAGTGAAATAATAAAATGCGGGCAACCCGCATGCGTACCAGAACCGCACGTGAGCCGAAATCCGCATCACAGAAAAGAGGCACTACTGTCTTTGTATAAAATATCATAATCGTTAAACAATGACTTAAAAGTGTCCTCTTTTAAATTCAAACATATTTTAATTAAGAAAAAAAATCACATAACTTTGCAAAGTATTTGCTTACGACCATGATTGTTGGTCTTATCTGGAGCATATAAATGTATATAAATTAACTACTATTATTTATGAACCAGTCATAAATTATTCTTTAGATTTCGTTCGATTGTTAATTGTATCTTGAGGAAAGTTAAAGTACGACACTTATTATATTACTTATAGGTACAATATTCTGCTTTAATCATCGCCATTTTGTAGTAAACCACAATCTTGAACCTATGTACCTAGGTAACATAGGTAATGGTAAACCAACCCGGTGCGGCGGTCATACAATGTCCTATTACTATTCGACGCAGATAGAACAATTTATATCACTAGCTTTCCGCCCACGGCTTCGCCTGCTTGGAATTTTGTCTGTCACAGAAAGACTATCGCGCGAGTCCCTCTTTCAAAAACCGGGATAAAAACTACCTATCCTATGTCCATTCCCAGGACTCAAACTATCTCTATGCCAAATTTCATCAAAATAAGTTTCTCGTTTTTCTCTGAGGCCTGTGCTAGTCTCCATACAAAATCAAAATCTGTCACGTTAATTATATTTGAAAAGATTCTAATTAATCTAGCTGGAGTGCAGTGCAGTATCTAGTTTTTAAGGTAATTGGTGTACCTGTTTACGTCAAACGTATGTAGGTAATATACATATTTTAACACATATTTGAGGAACCTACTTACCTATTGCAATAACGTCATTATCCTTTAACCTCCAGAATGTTAGGAAAACAAGCAAAGATCATAATAAAAAACTCGTTACAGAAACGAGCATCTTGTAATTTATTTTGAACAGTTTGTTTTTCATAAGTCTTTGTTTTTTAAACGCCAGTACCTAAAGTTCGCTATGATTATTTGTATATTTACGCTACCATTGAATTAAGATACCAAAAAGATAAATGTTTGAACTCATTGACACCAAGTTTTACGATTATGATAGTAAGTAGGATGTTTTTATTCATAATCGCGTAAATAAATGGCTTCAGTATCAGCAGTTCAGTTCTTTACACCAAAATCCAAAATCCATCCTAGAACAGACAGGATAATACCTACCGAAAATGTGACTTCCAGGAATCTTGCGAAGTATTGCGAGTGTGAACGCTTCTTCAAACATCTCACAAGTTATATTAAGGTCCAAATTAAGCTTGCATTATGACGTCGGTAAAAGAATCCATAGAAATTACAATAACGCAAATTAGTCACACTCATAACCCCCCTCAGGGATTCGAACCAGTAAGTTTTTAACCGCATGGGCCGTTAGGTCTACGAGACAATTACCCAAGTACTTGTACTAATGTTTAAATTACTCTTTCGAGAATTCTGGACTAACTGGAACTCAATTGAAGTGCAATCGTCATTTGTCCCAATTTATGTGATAGAGCTGACTACCAAAATAATGGATTGGATGTCTTGAAACGTGGCAAGATTCAAACCTTTCTTAAGTTTTTATAAGATACTTTTATCTAAAAATTCAAAAAGTTTAGGAGTCAATAAAAACGAGCATAAAAGGAACGATTAAAATATTATCTCCGAATGTTAAGATTTTGTCTATCAATGTTAACCATTGACTTAATATGGAATTTAGACTAAAGGTCTAATTGTTTAAGAGCAGGCGGCGCCGGCGCCGATAAAGCGCAACTGGATATGCATGCACTGATAAGGTCCAATTAGTTCATAAACATTAATAAGTTAAATTATGATAACCACAAAAGACATAGCTATACATGTAGGATGAGAGATGATTGTTATAACATACCTTTTCATTCCAACATTTTTGCCAAATATTTTTGCAAAAATACTAAAATGTATTTTTTAAGAAACAAACAAAACTTTTTCAACTTTTATAAGCCGACGAACACAAATTCGTCCCCATCTCTACCCGCTATACCTTGTTGCTGCCAATCTTGAGCTTTTAAGTTTTAAACAATAACGGCAAGATGTCAACGTAAAGAAGTAATGATTACCTAGTTGGATTGTAAAAAAATGTCACGTTCATTTATTGCAATAGACATCGGGCGCCGTCTGAGAGCCGGCCGGCGCCCGCGCCGAAGGTCGATTTGTTACGTCCATTACTCCATTATTCTTTTTACGCATTGTCGTTTGTACCTTGGCCTTCGTCAATTTTGATGATTCTTTTACTCGACTTCAGGATGGACAAATGACACGTGACTTGCCTATTCAATCTCAAAACTTCTGAATAATCAATTTTCTATGCTGCTGCATGACTATCGTATTACAATATCATAAATAGGAGCCATGTGGGTGTCAAATTGTTAATTCTTGTAATTGCGTGGTGTATACCGTTATTGATTGAACATTAACGAAATTAATAATGGAGTTGCATATCTTTAATACAGAGTTACTAATGCCTAATTAACTGTACTTATTACTTTAGTTTAAAATCAAACTTAAAAACAACAATCATAAAATATTACAAACTTAATCATTGCCCACATCCATGACCTGGAGTTGTTAGCCTATTTTTAAATTTTAATTAGTTGAAAAATATCGGTTATAACTAAAATATGTTTATGTACCTATTAGATAACAAAATTAGTTAATTACTGCACTTATACAGTGCCTTAATCGTTCATCACTATGCAGTGATAGTAATTTTGTTTTATTTCAAAATATAAACACGATAATATGCGATAACCGATATTAAGAATTTTATTAAGATTTTACATACTCTACAAAGGATTTCTCTTGTTTTAAAAACATGTTTTAAATTAATCCTAAATTAGGTCTATGATTGACTTACTTACTTACTTCTTACTCGTAAATACAAATATAATTTTTCTGAAGAGTGTTTTTTTGTAATTGCCGATGAAACCTTATTCTTTTATTGAAACCGTTTTAGTCAATTTTACGTCAGTTGCGAGAATATCCTATGACGTAGATGAAGCCGCATCTAAAGTTAAATAATAACATTTCTGCATGCCCCACCACGTTCAATGCGGAAAGATCTATCTTCTGGTGGTAGGCGACGTGGTGACCTGATTAAATTACGAGACATTGTGTGTCGTTTGAAAACTGTCTGTCGGTCACAAATTTAGAACTTCTGGCTTCACAGAAATATACTCTTTCACTTATGAAATAGGTTAGGTATTAAATAATACAATTAATGTTGTAGTCGTAGCAATAATAAATATTAGGTAAAACGTGATATGGGTAACGAAAGATGTGTTCTAAAACATATTTAGTTAGTTATAAAGCAGTGTATACACAACCTTGTAATTATGCTATAAATCTACGGCGATAAAATCATATCATCAATCAAATATTTATTATTATAGCACATAACTTGTTATCTACCTCCTCGATACACTACACTTTTGAAATATCACAAAGATGGCATTGGAGTGTCCAGCAGTCAGTATACTCCAAGTAGAGCTTATTAGCTTACAATTTCAATTGTATGGCTTAAAAAAAGTCAAAGTTGATAATTAATTCGTACTCTGAAAGCAAAGATATAGTTCACAGAATAATGTCAATAACTTATTTCCTGACAGTTAAGATAAGTTAACTACGTCGCTCGTAAAGTAACGACTGTCTATTAACGAATGTAATGTTAAAAATAGGTGCATTGCTAATGTAGTTAAAATAAACTGTTTTTTTTGTTTTCCAGCTTTGGTGGGCACGCTGGCTATGGGAACTACGTTTTTCCTGTCACCGCTCTCAGGAGTTCTGACGGGCCTCATGGGTCTCCGTTTGACCGCTGTGCTTGGCGGCACAATCGCCACCGCTGGCCTACTCTTCAGTTCCTTCGTCGTTGATCACATAGACGCTCTTTGTTTCACCTACGGTATTATGTACGGCTTAGGAGCGTCATTTGCGTACACGCCGTCTCTAGCCATCCTCGGTCACTACTTCAAAAAGAAGCTAGGACTTGTAAACGGCATTGTCACAATCGGCAGTTCCATTTTCACCGTCTTCATTCCCGTTGTGATGGATGTTATGATAAGAAATCACGGCTTAGACTGGATGTTCAGACTTTTGGCATTATTCTCGTGCGGTATAGCACTTTGTGGGTTGTTATTCAACCCAACTCCATTGACGGCAGCTGAAAAGCCTATAAGGGACGACGACAGCATTAAATCTTTGCTAAAAACGATTGTCAACATCGAAATTTGGAAGAACAAGAAGTACAGAATGTGGGCATTGTGCATGCCTGTAGCCTTATTTGGTTATTTTGTCCCATATGTGTACATCAAATCTTACATCGAGAAACGTTTTGTAGACGTAGGTAACAAAAACCTACCATTACAATGTATAGCAGTTACTTCGGGAATAGGGAGACTCATGTTTGGTTATCTAGCAGATAAACCGGGAATGGATAGAATATTGTTGCAACAAATTTCGTTTTACGTTATTGGCATACTTACTATCATTATACCTTTTGTTGAGTCTTTCCCTTTCTTGGTGGCAATTTCTTTGGGTATGGGATTGTTCGACGGTGCCTTTATTGCTTTGATTGGGCCAATAGCGTTTGAGATGTGTGGCAGGAACTGTGCAGCCCAAGCTATTGGTTGTATGTTAGGACTTGCAGCATTCCCCTTGTCGATTGGGCCGCCCGTAGCTGGCCATATTTATGATTACTACAAATCTTACACTGTTCCCTTTATTTTGGCTGGTGTCTCCCCATTAGTAGGAGCTACGTTGATGTTTTTTGTCCGTTTATATCGGACTAACAATATCCAGGAAAATAATTCAAATGCGAATGGGCATCTTGATTCCGTGGCTGTTGGTGAGTTTCGAACTTATATTTCCTAGGTTTTATATTTCCTTTTACATAAAACTATAGAATAACGTTTATATTTCTTATCATTACAGGAAATTCACCGGATCCTCTACTTGGAAATAAGACTGCACAACAACCGGGCTTATAACATCAAAGAAGGAAATAATCAGGCAATAATTTATAATATTACATGAGTCGCAGTTTCATGGACTTAATAACAACAGCTGTATGAGGATTAAAACTATAGGATGGTGGTATATTTTATATTTGATTCTATACATATAATCTTTCAAGCTAAAGCTGGTTACAAATTAGAATTAGATAGATTTTATCAACAAAGTTTGGTGCCTATTAGGAGTAAAAAGTGAAAAATCTGAAATTTTTGGTATTCGATCATGTTCTACTAAATCATTCAGTATAACTGAGTGGAAATTAACGACAAATATTGTTCTATATAAGATATAGTTGTGGAACTGCATGAAATATTAAATCGTCAATTATTTTTTACGGTGACGACCTAATCGAGAAACAAATCATTTATCTTTATTATCCTACCTATACAGTACTGTTAGGTAAGCTAATACAACGTATATTTTTATTATGAACGCAGCTACATGACTTTATTATTATTTTTATTACAAAAACAATTATGTTGAGCGTGAAACGGTGCATTTTGTTTAAAATGCGGCGAGATAACAACGAGTTATACATATATTTACAATTTTAATGTGTTTTACGATTTTAAATGCATTTGCGTAGAAGTTAGTTTACGTCAATATGCAAAAAATATTCATTAGAACCTCGCGATAAAGTCTGTGCATGCACGCAAATAATGTAATTACAACGAGAATCTAATTAAATATTTCCAGTAATTAATTACATTTACGTATATCCATTTTACCTAGTTACCGATGAAGTTCCTATTCCATTTTGTTTTAGTCCAATTTATTTTATAAGTAAAAATATTTATGTTTAAGAAAATTAAGTTATACATACCTACATGTTACATAAAAATTATGTATAAGAATATATTTTTAGAAAATTGACAATACAGATTTGAAAGTGACATAATATTTAGAATGTAGAATCTCAATAATTTATTTTTTCACTTTAATAATGAAATCGAATAAAAATTGGTCCTTTTTAGCGATGTATGAAATTCGATTAATTATGATGCTTTTTAAATATATTTCGAGTGACAACACAATATTAGAAGCTTTAGCACTGTGTACCTACCTACCGTGTACGTACCTATCGAAAACTGAAAAATAAGTGCAAGGGTTTATAAAATAAAGAAACATGGGAGTTAGCTAAATATGTAGTTAATTACAACTTTGTCCACGTATTATAAAATTAGTTTTTGATTAAATAATATTAAAACTAATATGTAGTAGCTAAGCTACAGGCTCCTAAACTGAAGTGCATAATTTAGAGAGATTGATAGAATCTGCTATTGTAGAGTTCCGTAATAAACCCCAATTATTTAGCCATCTCCTTTCAAATACGATTCTTAAAGCAGATTTTTCAAATTTTGTTTGAAGAATCGTAAATTGTTATTTATTACATTTAGGGCTGATTTTTCAATCGTCGGATAACTTTTAACTGAAGAATAAGTTTGGCACATGACAGTTTCAGTATGGGAAATATGTCAAAATGACAAGTTTATTCTTCAGATAAAAGATAACTGACGATTGAAAAATCAGCCCTTAATATGTTTACACATAATATAACTCTCTATATTAAAGTAAATATTTTTTCTATCTAGGTAACTAATAAGTACTTATTGAATTTTTATGATCGATATCTTTTGTTAATGTTTTAAAAGTACATAGTTCACAGGTGTGTGCATTTGTGTGAAGTGTGCTTAGTTAATACGATACATTGCGTCTGTAGTGTGCTGTGATATGAATGAATTCATAATCAATTATTATATGGGGTACAATACAATATTATCTACGTTATCTTTAAGATCTACTTGAGGCTAATAATTACGCTATATCAATATAATGTGATTGTTATTCAAATAAAGGTCTGTATAATCGTATGGCAGGATAATATGATTTATTCTACTATTTTTGCTGCCAAGGTATAAAAAATCTTCGTGTGTGATATATTCCTTGCTAGGTTATATTTATAGGGTGTTAGGTAAAAATACATTTTATAAAATCCGATTTGTATGAAAATTAAAATAATTAAAATGAAGATATCAAATTTTCTGACTTCACCATACCATTTATATGTGCCCATATTAACATGGGCTAGTGTCGGCTCATATACCCATTTACTTAACACCCTGTATATCTACGATTTGTTAAAAATATTGGCTGTGTATAAAAGCTGGCGAAGTATGGGATCCTCCCGGCCCAAAATATCTATATTAATATTTACCGCAATAATTGTTCATACTTATTATGTTTTATGAAAAAGGGATTCATTTAAAATTTGTAATTATGAGGCACGAATTTATGTTCCTACCTCGTTTTAGTTTATTTATAGGTACTAATATTTACTTAATCTTCAATGAGCACTGTTGCAAATTTTGCTAGCATTTATGCATTCACTATTATGATGCTTTTATATTTATAATGATTGTGTATTGTTTTAGTAGTTAATCACTTTTATTTGTTGACGTTAATGTATAGGATAATGTTTAATAATATTATTATTATGTTCGACGTAATTTCATAAATGAATGTAACAATTTGTTAGTTTATCACCATCAGGTAAAATACAATGTTCATTCCAAACTAAATTAATGGCATTTTAATGTTATGAGTATTATGACCCCATTTGTTTTATATTTTTATATTGTTGGCAAAACTTGGGGCCTAGAAGTTTCACTTGGGCAAGGTTCTTTAGTCTATGATTGGCCTAAATATTATGTAGGTATTACGCCCGTATTCACAAACGTTGCTTGCTTAAGTGAAGCAGCAAATCGAACGCACAGCGTTGAATAGAGCTTTGTGATTGGTTCATTTGTCACTCTGTGCGTCCAGGAGCACTGTGAGACCTCATAGTAATGTTTGTGAATACGGGCGTTAGAGTACACACGACAGCACATCAAGCTAAACACAGTGGTGTCTTATCTCGTTGTAATACTGGATATTTTGCAACAAAAATGTATTTATCTGCCGTGTTGTCGACTGCTCCTATATCGTTCTATTTAATAAGTTTTAGAATTTTTTCATTCAGAGTTAGCATTTTTACAACTTGAGTGCAACTTGTTCATTCATAAGGACATGTAACACTGGATGCGGTCTGCGGTCAGGTTACAGTAATCATACATGATGCAGGCTGCGCTTAATACTTTGGCTTAACCGCATAAAATGTGACAAAGCCATAATATTAAAATAAATGTATATTATTCAACCACTTTTAAAATAACTTCAACTGGTGATGTTTTGGAATAAATAACTTTCGTCGGATAATTTTTACCGGAATATTGTTTTCGAGATAGTTTTAATTATGTTCCTAGTGATAAGATAAACCGTGGGTTCATTGTAATCGGTCAGTTATTTTTTTACCTAAGAGTTATGTATTTACCTATTGGATAACTGTAACTATGTAATACAGTAAGTACCTTTCAGCAGGAAATCGTACAAAATATTGCAGTAATACATGTAACAAGTTACTTCACCTAGATTTTCCAACAAGTTAGTTAATTTTATGTAGTTCATTTTGTTGTCAATAGTGTACTTCACTATTTTAAGTGATGGGTCTACAATTTCAGATGTTTTTTAAATTTTAGCTGTCGTAATGAAAATAAATATTTCATGATATATGAAAAATTAAAATCTTTTTTCATTAATAAAATCTTGCCACCAAGTCGAGCAAAAAAGCGGCACGGCCGTACCATCCTTTTCTCGAAGCAATTCAGGCCATTTTCGACCGCCTGTAACTTCGTTGTGGATAAAACTAGAAGGCTGAATTTTCATTAGCTATGCAGGCATTGTAAAGACACGGTATATTTAAAATTTCATTCAATTTGAACCAGTAGTTTAAGAATTATAACGGGTCAAAGTTAATTAATTTTGTCACTCACTGACGGGGGGGGGGTCTAAAATCTGAAAAAATCGATGACGTAATTTATGGACGGCCCCTAATTACCTGTTCACCATGCAATAAAAATACTTTCTATGTTAATGCGTTATCTATTGTATTTTGTACTTTTCTGAGAAATAATTTGTACATTACATTATTTACATAACACTTAAAGTTAGTTTAATTGGATTTTCACCTGGAATATCATACTGTTCATGAATATTTACACTGCACCAGCGCGGCAGCGCTACCTACATAGTTGCAAACTACGTAAAGCTATGGACGATAATCTGCGAACTATTAATTCTAAGATATTTTCAATTTTGAAGTTTATTATTTACTAGCGGCCGCCCGCGACTTCGTACGCGTGGATCCCGTTTTACCCCCTTCATCTATCTTACGCGGTTTAGATTTTTTCATACAAATGTTTTTCCCGCTAACTCCCGTTCCCGTGGGAATATCCTATTGTAACTAAGCTTTAAGTTTACTAAGGTACATGCATGCCAAATTTCAAGCGTCTATCTTACGCGGTTTAGATTTTTTCATACAAATGTTATTTCCCGCTAACTCCCGTTCCCGTGGGAATTTTGCAATATCCTGTTGTAACTAAGCTTAAAGTTTACTAAGGTACCTGCATGTCAAATTTCAAGCGTCTATCTTACGCGGTTTAGATTTTTTCATACAAATGATTTTTCCCGCTGACTCCTGTTCCCGTAGGAATTTTGCAATATCCTGTTGTAACTAAGCTTAAAGTTTACTAAGGTACCTGCATGCTAAATTTCAAGCGTCTAACTTAAGCGGTTTAGATTTTTGATACAAAAGGATTTTCCCGCTAATTCCTGTTCCCGTAGGAATTTTGCAATATCCTGTTGTAACTAAGCTTTAAGTTTACTAAGGTACCTGCATGCTAAATTTCAAGCGTCTAACTTAAGCGGTTTAGATTTTTCATACAAAAGGATTTTCCCGCTAATTCCCGTTTCCGTAGGAATTTTGCAATATCCTGTTGTAGCTAAGCTTTAAGTTTACTAAGGTGCCTGCATGCTAAATTTCAAGTGTCTAACTTAAGCGGTTTAGATTTTTCATACAAAAGGATTTTCCCGCTAATTCCCGTTGCCGTGGGAATTCCTAAGTATACTATAACCTGCCCAGGAGTATGAAGAATAATTGTACCAAGTTTCGTTAAAATCCGTCGAGTAGTTTTTGTTTCTATAAGGAACAGACAGACAGACAAAAAATTTACTGATTGCATTTTTGGCATCAGTATCGATAACTAATCACCCCCTGATAGTTATTTTGAAAATATATTTCATGTACAGAATTAACCTCTCTACAGATTTATTATAAGTATAGATTAGATGAACTTGGAATCCGCAAAGCCACTACAAAGTCAAACCACTGTTTCAAATACGTTATTTAATCGGAGTTTCTTGAAAAAATTCGTCGAATGTTCGCAAAGAGACTTCGTCGAAATTTGCCGAACCCTATCCTTTGAGCCGGTAAGCGGTCCAGGGAATGGGGATGGGAAACTTGGCGGCCGCTACTGCCGAAGGAGTAAATCCTCATTTCAACTTCTTCGTGCGATGGGGAGTTAGTCTTTTGTGTAGCCCAGCGTAGTGGCTTGGACAACCTGCAATAATTTTGTATTATTGCAATTTAAGAAGTAAAAATGATTGTTGAATCAGGACAATAGGCATTGCTTACTCCGAAAAATAGTCCATATCATCAATCACGTCCGGCATTTCTCTTCCATCAATGTCGAGGAGTATTAAGCTCAACGAGATCAGGACTGCCGTGATGACCACGTCTTTGACAACAGACACCTCGTTACTAAATGGTTGGAAGACGAAGAACAGGTAGCTGAACATACTCCCCAGCTGACCTATGGCGTGGCAGCATCCAAACAGAGTCGCCCTTATGTTGATAGCGAAGAGACGAGGAGTTATGTTGAGAAGCAACAAATGCACAACTATGCCTGATGCTAAAGCGAATATAGAGAATATTTTTGGTGCGTGGAATATTGTTATCTGAAAAATAAGGGCTTGGATGAAATTAAATTTGAAAAATCAATTAAGTTTCGAATTAGATACGCCATTGAAGAAGTAGACTTACATGACCCAATATAACTTCAGCACTTGCAGAAATACCTGATATTATAATATTTAAAATTAGCAAATGTCTTATCAATATTTTTCTAGACAGCAAAATTGTTAGACTGACCAAGCCAACTACCGAACTCATCAATGCAAACAAATATTGATTTGAATTGTCCTCCTTGAGAACGGTGGCATAAATGTAGCTCAGTTGAAAATAAGTTAAAGACCATAGAAGGAGAGACACTAAGATCAGAACTCTGACGTTGTATCTTGTGAATATCCCAGAGCATGTTCGTATCTCGTCTAAGCAATGGTAAGCCTGTAAAAGAAGTTTAGGTTTTGTAGAGTCGCAATGGCAACATTTTGAATAATGTGACATTGCTTGATATTTTTCATAAGGCGTGAATAAACCTAAATTCACGTGACTCTACATTTACATTTTGATACATTTATTTGTTCTATTTATTGTATCTGAGAATCTTAAGGTAGGTACCTATCCCTCCTCTACAATATCTAATAGTGTACTAAGCGTGATTTTTCACTGGAAAAACTTGTCTGTTTTTTTCTACTCATAACTTTGCTAAACTATTCTAAAGCTAGTAGGTAGTTGGTACATAAAAATCATCTGTATATTTGACTTACAGACGTACTCTATGATTGACGGGCCTTATTTTAAAATCTTCGCAAAGGCTGGTACCATTCCTTTTAGCAGCTTCATAGAGAATTTTTTCTGCCTTAATTATTTTCCGGTTGTACAATAGCCATTGAGGTGATTCTGGAATCCACCTAAAAGTGTTTAAAATTTGCGTAAGTAAAAATAGATAGGTAAAAAACATAGTCCTGCATACCTACTAAGTTAGTAGTATAGAAACTAAGTACTTAAGTAAACAAGCAATTATTTCTACTGCACATTAACGAAGACTTAACTATCCACAATCCACATACCTAAACAACTAATTTTTATTTTATTCATAACTTTCAGCGTACCTACAGTACGCACCTCAGATCCCTTCTATGATCTGAGGTACGCACCAATATGTATAGTTACTTAAGACATCAGTTAATCATCATACAATTTTAATCTCTACATCATCAGAATTTAAAAACGAGCAGTCCTTATTCTCGTTACTACCTACCTAAATCATATTATCCGCATCATTTCCCACAAATTGACTCGTATGGCAGGATTTTTATTTTTTTCACGATTTCAATGCCCTTAATAAAAATAAGTAGGTAGGTAGTGATAAGCTCCAGTTTTAAGGACTGCTCCTGTTTTTGTATACAACCTTGTAAGTATTTACTACACTTGTTACCTTAAAATAATAATGAGTAGAACGCTGAATAAGGTGGCCATAAAATTGTAAGTTTCCAAATTTGGAAAGGCGTTGGCTAAAGGAAGCATGCACGTCATTGATAGCAACTGAGGCACAGATGCTATCGCGTTCAGGCGCGATCGCCATCGGTTACTAGCTATCTCGCAGGCTGTGGAATTGTTTTTACATTAATTCATCATATTTTTCTTTCCATTATAGGTAAGCTACGAAAGTAACTCAGATACTCGTATGTTCATCGTTTGTCTTTAGGCTATTGCTATTAATTTTGCTGGAAGTTGAGTGTATGGTCTACTCATAACAACTCGTAGGTAAACCTACAAATGACTGTCATAATACCTACCTAAAACCTACTCTATCAGTGTACCACTTATTAATGTTAATTATTTATTCTGTGGCATTATCCTTGTATTGCGCGGATAACTTAGGAAATGACCGCAGACGCGCATTTGATACCTATTTTTAAGTTAAAAATAGTTCTGGGGAATAACTGGAGAATAATGGTCGGGGCTAGTTTCTGTATTCTATCCAAATATTTTCTATTGACCTCAACGTGACCACGACCGCTCTGCCAAGAGCGTAACGAATAAGAAGAAGAAGAAAAATACACTTGTAGCCTTCTTAAAGGGGTTCATTTATATGTATACCTACTGATTACTAGTCCCATGTAAAGGGTAGCAGCTCCAAATAAAGACTTTAAGAACACCAGCAACTGGAACCAGGGTTGAGAATCGCAGAAAGTCATAATTAGTCCCATGCACATGTCCACGAACAGATTGATCGCAATAGCCATACGTCTTCCACAGCTGAAAACATTGACATTGCAGGTTTCAAAATTACGGCTTTGTAGGTTATAAAATGTCAAGCAAAGGATAATGTAAGAATTTAAATTTTCTCTCAGTTTTAAGATAAGTCCTACCTTTTTAAGTCGTAGGTGAGCAGTTTGGTAGTATCTTTCAGTGTGCCTACCATGAGTTTACGTTAGGTGTGCTCGCTAGCGACTGCGTAAAAAAATGACATTTAAATGTATGACATATTGTGCAGCGCCCCTAGCGGCTACTTTCAAGAATTAAAATCTTCATAGAATTTTTTGACGTTTTCGCTAGCGAGCTCACCTAACGTAAACTCATGGTAGGCACACAGAAGTGGTACAGACTTTACCTTTTATATTACTTATTTATGTAAGTACAACGCAAAATTAGAGAGAGGTTCTAGACATTGTTAACGTCTATTTACATACCTATCTGCAATTAATCCAAACATTACACATCCGAACATTAGGCCCATGCGGGATATCATTGTTGTGGATAGTAGTTTCATCTTGTTGTCGCAAAACACCAGCCACTTTAAACAATAAGAATAGCAATCGCGTCATTGGTTGTGTAATACAATACCTATTAGGCTAAAATCTATTCCTACGAAGAAGCACGTACCGATTTTTTGAGCCAAATCAACCAAAACAATTTTACATGCCATTTGCCGCATTTGAGTTGCGCTGCTGCGTTGTTTATGGAAGTAACGGTACATAAACTGGCATTCAGAACCTCGTACCGTTCTGGTGGGATGCATATGACCTCTAGTGATGGTTTCAAGAGGAACATGTCTTCGTACTGATTGAACATTGAGGGCACAGCGAGCACTGTCGAGGCCACCACGACCAGCCATTGCCAGATTCCAATATTACCCAATACCTCGGTCGTCACGTCTTCGTATATTGTCCCGATTCTACAACAATAAAATATTACGTCTTCGCGTTAACTTACAGAACAGAAAACGTGGTTATTATTTGTGAATACTATACATCGACATGGTACTTTCAACAAAATTATCCTTATACTGATGTTTTAGGTGCGTTCTTCACTTTCAATCATGACCGTATTGATTTGCGTATCACCATTTTATTACCGCGTCATATTTTCTTTTTCAAGCACATGCTTATCTAAAATAATGTTAAAATAAGTAGTAAAATTAACTCAAGATCATCAGATTGAGATAATAGCACCTAATAATAATATTGATGAAGACTTGAATCGATAAACATGACGATGGACAAATTAGCATTTGAAACTATTCACAAGAATTCGTGCACTTGATCAAAGAAACTGGTTATTCCCCTGGTACGAACTTAAATATACCTATCCTTGTAACTACGGGGAAAGATTGCATTCAAGATGCAGGTGAGTTTAAACGATTGCAGCTTAGGAATAAAAAATATGAATACTTATTATGTGTTAACAAAAGTCATTAACAACATTATCTACCTACTTAAAGAGCGATCGCCCGTGTGTCTTAATTACAGCTCTATGAATAAATTGTATAAACTTAGCACATAGATTTTACATGCATGAAAATTATTACATGCTTAAACCGGGAATAGAAGCTCTGCACAGTCATATTTCAGTTTACTCAGCTTATCTCATGTTCAAAAGCTTTTTTTATGAAACTTGTAAACGGTGTTTGAATTGGGTTATCGTGGGTCTGCAAGTTCTGTAACGTAGGGTTTGATAAACCTATACATTTATGATAATGATTACTGACGTTCAATACTCTTACATAAATAAATAAATATTTCTATAAAAAAGTTAATTATGTAATGGGCATTTCTACAGCACGGTGTTATTTTTCTCAATTCGGTGCTAAAATTTATATTTAGTTTTTTAAGTAGTTTCGATACAAAAAAGTAAAGTTTACTCCATTCTGAATGTAAAAATAGCATTGTCACTAAATATTGTAAAGTGGTTTATGAGAAAAGTTAAGCACCGAATTGAGAGAGCACCGAATTGTGAAAACGAATCACGGAATTGAGAAATGAATCTCCAAATTTAAAAATCGCTCCGTGAACTTAGAATTGACGACATTATGTAGAAATACATAATGTATTTCAATAATCAAAATAATAAATACCTAAAACCTTTGATATCTGACTGCTGGTCTATTAGTTAGATGGTTAATATTAGGTTTAATTGTCTGAAATATCCATTGGAATTAAACAAAAATCCTAATCAATATGTTTAATTTTTTTATAAGGAACTATGAATCATTCTTAATTTTTATATATTATTTTATTTCATTAAAGTTATATAAAAATAAAATTATATTTAAATAAAATAAATACACAACACAGGGTCTCCTCTTAGTTTATTTATTCTTAACCTTAAACATAAAACAAATATAGCAAGACCCAAGAGCTAGATTGACCTGACACTATACCGAAGATATACCGGACGTCAGTTTGTACAAAATTAAAATAGCTCTCAAACAGCTGAAATACAACAAGGCACCGGGTGTTGACGGCATCGCGGCTGAGCTTCGCCGGTACTAAAGGCTCTACAGAAGCAGTTCAATTCCATCATCCTCGAAGGAAAAACGAATTCGGCATGACACAAAAGTGTGGTGATAAAATTATAGACTCATCTCACTTCTGAGGGGTGTTGCTGTTTTCGAGAGTCTCGCTCGCAGACTCAACGACTTCCAGCCTTCTGAAAAGACTTTAGTATTATGGCACACACACAGGTACGCTACGGAATATTACACAGAAGACCAAGGAGCCAATTCACGGACGATATCGTAGACCTTGGAAGATCTAGGCACAATGCTCGATGGCCTCCGCAGAGCCTCTCAACAAGTGGGTCTCAAAATGAACATGGACAAGACAAAAATCATGTCAAATGTCCGTGTTTCACCCACTCCTCTGAAGGTTGGAGACTCTACACTTGAAGTTGTTGACAATTGTGTATATCTGGGACAAAGAGTCCAGATAGGTAGGTCCAACTTTGATCTCACGTCTGAAATACCGCAGTGTCTCAAGACAAAAGTCTTCGACCAGTGTGTGTTGCTAGTGATGGTGTATGGATGTGAAACGTGGTCGCTTACTATGAGCCTAATAAGAAGGCCCAAAGACAATGGAGCGTTCTATGCTCGGAATTTTCCTGCGTGATTGAATCAGAAATGAAAAGATCGGCAAGAGAACCAAAGTGACCGACAAAGTCCGCAGAATTGCAAAAATCAAGTGGCAGTGGGTGGGGCACTTAACTCGTATAAAATGATAGCTGTTGGGACTGAAAAGTTCTCGAGTGGAAACCACGGACCAGTGGGCAGGCCTCACACTAGGTGGACCGACGATCCGGTGAAGATCGAGGTAAGAACCTGGATGCGGACAGCGCACGACCGGCTGCTATGGACATCCTTGGGGAGGCCTTAGTACAGTAGTGGACGTCATTTGGCTGAAACGAACGAACGAAAAATAAAATAATGAGTTATATTGAAAGAAAATAATTAGTAAAAAACGATTTCAAACATATCCCATTATTTTTGTGCCTCTTGCTCTTTAAGTTATGATGAACAGAGATGTCGTTTTACCTGTCCATTATCTAGTTTTCAAACAAAAAACTATTAATTATTGGACAGCAAATATCCATAACTCAATAACTTATTAGTTACTGTGTTTTGTGGAACCTATGGAAATTATATACAAAATACATTATCTCTTTACTATAAAAAGAAATGAGCAAATGAGATAGATTTAAAAAAAATAAAAAAATGTTATAGACAAACATTTTATTTTCAAAATCGTTGCGATAAGTTAAAGTAGGTATATATTTTCAAACTTCTGCTTACATCGTTTACTAATGTTTTGAACTATTGTTTTATATTATTTTGATAAGATAGCAGTAGCAGTGCATTCTTTTTGATGAAACCTCAAGAAAAAAATGTTTTATTGTCTTCTGTCTTATGACTGGTAGTGCCCAATGATTGCTAGTTCACCCTATTATTATGTTAGACTGATTTCATTAACATTTTAAGATACACAAACAATTTATTGTCTCCATTTTCATTTAATATCAATTCGGTGTATACGTTTTCTCAATTCGATGCCCCATATTCCGCGGAATTGAGATCCGCGGAATTGAGGAAATATCACAATCCATCAAATTACTCGAAAATATTATAAATTACAACAATTTCTACAAAACGTAATGGCAGATATCACTTAAACACTCAATTAATTCAGCAGTAATCTCATTAAATACTTCCTGAACATTATTAATTTCGCACACCGATTTGAGAAATGACCAGTGACCAAAAATTTTTAGTGATTTCAAACCTCTGAAAAATGCTCCTCAAAGTGACAAATCTCTCTTTTAGACTTCTCGAAAATTCGGGCGCAACTGCTAGTTTGTGGGAATCAGTCGAGGACGTTCGTACTGTGCGTAGTTAGTGATATAGGAGCACAAAAGTAAAAATCACGGAATTGAGGCACACACGTCGGACAAAATTTAAATGTGTTACTGTAGTAAAACCCAAGGACTTACAATAAATAAACTCATATATATGGCTTTATTAACTATCCCTTGTTCTGTGAATGTGAGTATCATAATGGGGAAGTTATTATTTCAAAAGTTATGAAGCAAAAACGAGTAAATTCTGGAAACCGGACACTCCATTTTAAGCCAAATTTCGCCCGTTTTTGAACTTTCAGATTTTTTTAAGGCGAGATGTAAAACCTGGCGGTCTTCTAAATATGCTCTCCATCAAGTCAAGAGTCCTATAAATACGTGTGATTTTTTTCAAGACCGTACTTCAATTTGAAAGGTACTTTTTTCGCCCCAGTAGGTCAATCGGTCGTCTCCGTAGAAATGCCCTAATATTAATATTTATTCATTGCAAAAGGTCATCTATAATATTCATGAAGTATTTTTCAATCATGTTATTTATTTAATCTCGCGGAGATTCAAATGTTAAAATACATAAGAAAATCTAAGCTAAGACAACTAGTTACCTACTTGTTGAACATTGATCTTAAGATCAATTATCTTTAAAGATGTGCTTTGTAAGTTGTTGCGTTTAACAGCTTTAAAAGCGATCTACAACCAATCAATGCTTAAATAGCTATAAAACTCTCTCTCATTAAATCATCACGAAAGTCTTTTTAGCAAAATAAGTTTCCTTATTTAGCCTTATTACCCACCGCACTACCAAACCACACTACCAGTAGTGTCGTGGGGAATATTTTTTCCCTTCTGCACTACCAAGCCAGTAGTGTCGTGGGTAACATACATCTTCATTCCCATCGACACTACTGGCTTGGTAGTGCAGAAGGGAAAAAATATTCCCCACGACACTACTGGTAGTGTG